GATGATAGATAGATAGATAGATAGATAGATAGATAGATAGATAGATAGACAGATAGATAGAATATTTAAAGTTAAAAATATTTTTAAATATTTAAAAAGTTAAATATATTCCCCTTTTTAACTTTAAATATTAAAATGTAAATATTCAATATTGAAAAAGATCAATTAGAGCTTCTAAGCTCATGAAAAAAAACAGCTGGTAATATATAAGGAAACAAAAGAAAACTGCAAAAGAAAATACTATGTTCTGGGCAGGCCGTAAAATTGCAATGGTTTACTGCAGTTATGAGATCTGCAGATAGATCTGTGGGGATCTCTGAGAAGATTTATCTGTGGGGATCTCTGAGAAGATACTAGACACCTTTCCAATTCATATTACAGAGTACAAGACGAGTCTACAGAATTATTATAACTTCATGAACTCAGCTTGAAGGATGGAATATTGCTACCATGTCCTAACTCGCACAGAGAAATAAGAAGTGGAGACAATGAGAATAGTACTATATAGCAAACAGAAATCAAATCTGGCTAAATGTTTTCCCTATTTCTCCAGAAATAGAAGACTCCTGAAACAGATGATTCTTCTATTTCAGTTTCCTAGATTGACTCTAGCTTTTGGGGGAGATTGGAAATCTCATTCTTTTCCAGCCTTAATCCAGCTCTGGTTTTAAAAGGACAAACTTTTCCTATATCTAGCAGAGAGAGGGGCTGGGGTAATCTGACAGTACAGGACCAGCAACTATGGCTCACTCAAAGGGGTATGTATTCTGTCAAAGCCAGCAGTCTGCAAGAGGGAATGGTCTCCCTTGTGGGTTCTGGATTAACAGTCTGGTTTTAGAGACTGACAGGCAGGCTACTGTATAGTATATTCATGCCACCTCCCTTTCAAAAGACCACTCCATTTGTCTTTCCTTGAATGTACTTGAACTTAAATCATACTCCTGCAGGGTGAGACTCCAGCATACAAACTACTATTTGTGATGGGCGTCCTTAGCCACTTTAATGCTTCATAATCTGAGTTCAAATCAACCACTCCACATATAGTAATGAAGCTTCTCAAAGGAGTATACAATGGGATTATTTCCCTGACAGACTAACGTAACTCCCTCTATAAGAGTTTTTTTACTCAAGAACACTGCCAGATGAGAAGCTTGGTCTGCTCCTACTTGTGATAACATTCTCCCAGTGCCCATCTCTGAAACATCAGTGGTTAACATGAATGATTTGTCAAAGTCTAGAGCTTGTAGCACAGGACAATTGTTGGCGGGTGGGTTCAGGTAGATTCAAAACCCTCTGTGTGGGAGCTCAATTTTGCCTCAAGGTAAGGAGTTCCAAAACACAGCTGCTAAAGTCCTTGTTTGGGATAGTTAAAGATTAGAATGGTGGAAGCATCAACCTCCCTCAATAGATCTAGCATCACTTTCCCCTTTCTTTAAAACAGGGTCCCCAACAGGACTACTATGTCAGTCTCCATGAACTACTGTATATATTAACCTGTCCTTCCCTTTTGCATACTGGCTCACTCTCTCTCTGGCAATGTGAATGTATAGTCAACCCATGCAGAAGAACAAATTCTCTTGGGCAAAGTATTCAGTCAAGCCCAATTGGTTCATATTAAAACTTTATTAGCCTTGGGGTGGAAAAGAAATTAATCAGACAACATAAAATAAATGAACAAGTTAAATACTAAATGATCTAGATGTAGAGCTCTTAAATCTATTACTACATGCAGGGTACATGGATCAGTGTCAGTAGTGTACTCAGAAGAGATCCATAAAAAGCATGAATCTCCTGATGTTTGGGGAAAGAGGGGAGGAGGAATTTGATCCCCACTCATATTCAGTCATTCTTAACCTGATTCCTGAAGTAACCCATTTTCTAAGTTTGCACAATACAGGGACTCATCAACTGGCCAAATAGGCTAGGTTTATAAAACCTAACCAAGCTTAATGCTAACCATACACAGTATGTTGCGTCAATGCATTTTCTAGGACTTTTACTGACTTGATAACAGCTGAGCTACTGTTTTTGAAGGTAGGTATCTGAAATGAAGATACCTGCATGTATGCTATTTGGCATATGGGAGATGATAAGCAATAATCCTCTAAGCATATGGAAGGGATAAAACTGAGGATATTTCCAATCCTATTTTGGTAGGAGACGCCCATCCTGCCTGTATGCCTGGAGGATGCTTCGTACTCTGTCATTGTTTTGGATGCAGAATCCTAAGGGAGGGAATGAGGGGGTTGGAAAACCAGCCCATCAAGCAATGTTCACATAGCAGTTATGAGTGTATGGAGTTCAGCCAAGAGGAAAGAAGCAGATGAGGGGCGAGAGTCGTTACAGTGCTGTGGTTACTTGGGCAATGGTGAAATAAGTCGCTGGGGGCTTGGTTGCTGCAGTTATGTTAAGCTGGAGCCACACAGCCTGGGCAATGGCACTCAGGATCAGTGGCTGCTATGGCAATGCTGGATTCTTTGGGAAGTGTGCCAAAGATTTTGGGAAGTTCCATGCAGCCCATGGTTTGTACAGCACTGCACTAAGAAGTTCCAACTGCCATGTATTTGGGCAATTGCAGGACCCCTTTCTTCTAGAAAAGCCTTTGAGGACTTTTTTGTGCTTTATGCTGCTGCAGTACGAGAGAATCTTTGCTGACGAGATGGGCCAGGACTCCGTTACACAGCTCTACAGGCAGAATCCCTCCTGATACTTACGTGTGCATGTGCGTGTGTAAGATAATGGTCCATGTGCTTGACTCTTGCCTCTGGTTTTCTTCTTTTTGCTTAGAAAGTGTCCCTTCCCATTGTCCTGCTAGCGCTCCACCCTGAAAGCGACATCATCTTCTCCAATAAGCCAGGTGTCATAGTCACACCCCTTGCCTTTTCTTTGAGTAAGAATTTGGGAAGGTGTAATGTGTACATCCTCAGGCAGGAAAACAGCAATTGTAAGTCATTCAATAAACTCCAACCTTCTCTCTTCCAAGAATCTCGTGTCAAACTCTCTGTTGGATGCTTTTGTTTGCTTGTTGTGGGTATAAATGTTAAATGGCATGGGGGACAAGCTGGAAGTAAGGATGTCACAAGTATTTGGAAGGAGGCACTGTGAGCAGGTGAGAAGGATCAATAAACTGAAGTTCATTGTGCTAAGATGGAGATGTAGTTCTCATATCGGTGAAACAGGTATGCAGTACCAATGTCATACAGCTCTCCCAAAAGAGCGGGTATACAGCTTGGGTGAACTCTTCATCACGTGAAGGCCAAGGGGCTTCTCTGGCAGAAATACTAATCTGGTGGTTCACTATTCCAGGACTGAGGGTGGTCTAACTAAAATGATCCACATTTCAATCACTTTCTAATTAAATTATTGCAGGGTGTTTATAAGCTAATCGCCCCCCCGGCAAAAAATCCAAACCACACCAACTAATCATGCTGTGCAAGTCCCCCCGTTAAGTGTGTAAGCGTCCTAGTTGACTGTCTTGTGTGAACGCAGCTTCTCTGGCCACTGCATCTCACTTCTCCTTCAGCGCAAGGCCAGAGTCACTGCCACTCAACCGGCCCCGCAAGAAAGCCAAGTCCTGCAGACAGCCATGCTCCCGCCACAGCTGCTGCATTTGTTTCTGCAGCCGGTGCTTGTGCTCCTGCAGCTTCCGTGCTCGTTGGACCAGCTGGTGCAGCTCCTCCCTCAGTTCCTTATTCTGCTTGCAAACTGTCCGGCTGTGCTCCTGCAGGCACTGTAAGGCCAGCTGCTGCACCTGCTGAGCCAAGCCCTCCACTTCCCGCCCTGCCTCCTGCTCACGGGCAGCCTTCTCCTTCAAGACTTGCACCTTGGCTGCCTCCAGGTGTTGCACGTGTTGCTTCTGGGCAACTGCCAGCTCCTGCTGGAGCTCCCGAATGCGGGACGTCTGCTCTTGTTTCAGGGCCTGGACCCCTCGCAGCCCCTCCAGCTCGGAGCTGAGGCGGGCCAGCTCAGCTTCCTTCTGGAGCAGCTGTTCCCGCAGAGCTGCCTCCTGCTCCTGGGAACGTGCCATAACTTCTTGGTGCTGCTGCTGGATTTTTCTCAGCAACTCTTGGCTCTCCTCACTCAGAGAGACCACAACACCCTGGCGCCTTTGGGCCCGCTTGGCTAGGTAGCCTGCAAACTCCCGGCTCTCATTCTGGAGATCTTGTGCCTCTTGCTGGAGGAACTCATATTGTGCCCTCAGCTGTGCCCTCCTCCCTCTCAAATGCTCCAGATTTTGACAAATGCGTGCATATTCCTCTTGTACCGGCAGCAGCAAGGCATTGTCCGGCACTGTGGACCCCACAGTGTCCTCTGCAGTGACCCTTGGAGCTGTGAACCCAGACCTGGCCGGCTGCCCTTTTTTTTTCTTTCGGGGCTTCGGAGCCATCGTCTTACCTAGAGGGCTGGAAAGCAGATGGACATTATGTGAAGGTCAAGAGAAAAGAGAAAGAGAGAGCAGAGAGAAAAACCTTGAGATCAGCGTAAAAGGAAGGAAGAACAAGAGCAACTGCTCCAACAACCTCAAGGAGCTAGACCATCCTAAGGCTCAAGTTCGTGGAGCACCCACACCCCCAAACCAGCTTGTATCCATGATACCAGCAAGACTGTTTTAGGCTTTCCTGGGATCATCTAATGAAGGGTCTTAAGTCAGCCGCTAACTGGCTGAGCAATTCTAAATGCAGTGGTTTTCAAAAGAAATATTGCCACTGCACTGACACTAAAGTTGTTGTATAGGATGCACATCTAGCCCAAGAGAGGAGGGAAGAACACAGCAGAATCACAATTATGGCCTGTCCCAGTTTCCATGGAACCACGGCCCATGCTTGTCAATGATGGGCAGTAGGATATCTCATGGAAGTGAATATATGTAGCTCAGGATTGAACTGTGGAGTCCTTGGTGCTCTCTGAGCTTGGTTGGAACTCCACTAGAATATCTTTCATGACAGGGGCTGTTTTTGTATTGCACCATCATTTCCTAGGGCTTCTCTGCTGGTGTGCCTCTGGTGCGGGGTTGGCCCCTACTTCCCCCTTCCAGAGTTAACTTCATAGTAATTGAATAACATGTGAGAGCAGGTTTTGTGTCCTTTTAAGATGTATGGAGAAGGTCCATAAGGAGTGGGCTGAGCCAAGCTTAACTAAACATTGGGTCAAGGGTATGATAAACTGTTCTGTAAGTTAGGCATAATTCCCAGTTATCTTCAAGGCAGCAAGGGTATGATTAATTCCTGAATAAACCTGCCTGGAACTCAAAACCCATTAATAGTCTTGCCTCCTGTGGCAAGGTAGGTGATTGCTAACAAATTTCATATTCTGTTGAATAGAACTGCTTATGCAGCTCAGTTTGACGATCAAGCTTGGTTCCAGTCGGAAAACTACTACGAATGCTTAGTGGGATGACCTTTGATGGGAGTTTCCTGCCCTTAGTGTCTTTTGATAGTATCAATCATATGGAGCATTATGGAAAGATGACAGATTCTAGTAAGGATTTGGGTGACTGATTCTAAGAAGAATTGAAGGATGCTTACTATTATGTAACTTGTTTGCTTTGGAGTCTTATTTTATCTCTGTTCCTGTCTATGTTCTGTAACTCCATAGGAAATTATTGAGACCATCCCAAATTCATAGAGTCTGCTAACACCTTTTCAAACAAGAAATGTGTGCCTTGTAATAACATTTGTTAGTCTGAAAAGGTGCTACCAGACTCCTCCTGGTTTTTGGCTACCACAAACTAATGTGGCTCTCCTCCTATATTGAGATCATCCAGAGAGTTGACATCATCATCAATATGCTAATGGTATTCAACTCCAGTTCTCGTTGTTAATATAATGTAGATGAAATTAATTAAATTGGTACCTGGATGCAATCATTGTTTGGCTAAAAGACTTCGTTGTGTTATAGTTTGAACTGTTTAACTATTTGTGTTCCTCCAAAAAAATCAGGTTTGAACTCTGCAGGTGCTCAGTAATCATGTGCAAGAATAAAACACTGTGCTTTTTACTCAGTTCTGGTTTCATCTGAAAAGGGATTCCCATTATTTTCATCAATGTCCTGTGGATCATTGACCAAAATTTTTTGGCCACTACACAATGTGTAATAGGTTCCAATGTCATAATAGGTTCCATCTTCTTTTCCAGTTTTTCAACATTTACTTGAAACATTCTTATATTTTTGATAGTTTCACAGGTGTCAAATACCATCTATACATCATTTTCTAAATGTTTTCTCTTAAATTATTGCACAAAGTAAATTTAACATTTTAGTCCTGTAATATGAATTTAACCCTATTTTTTTCCAACTCTGATCTGGTATAGTTATAAAGCAAAGTGAGTAAAATAAAGAGGCTTCTGTGGCTAGGATGTCTTTTTATCAAATCAGGCTGATACCTCAACTATAAAGATCATCTAGTTTCTATGTTCCCCACCCTATAAAAATCAGCCTGGATTACTAACATATTGCACTTGCTTCTATTTTTGAAAACTTCCCAGCAATTACACTTCAGAATAGTGCAGTGAATGTTAGCTGTGACTGTAGGATATGAGAACAGAACATGTCAGTGCTTCACCATTTTTATTTATTTGTTTATTTCATTTCAATTTATATGGCCACCCATCTCAACTCCGTGACTCTGGGCAGCAAACAGTAATTAAAAATGTAAAGTAACAATAATATCACAATAAATACAGCAGCCAAGTTAGCAAGTTTCCAGTCTGCTGTTAAGGCTTTCCTGGGCTGAAATATTATTTTTTATATGTACTTATCCTGACCTTAAGATCATCTTCACAGACCATTCCTTGCATGACTTCACTGAACATGCTGTAACAAATAGCTATGGGGAGAAAAGACATCCCAAAAACAACCAGACGTGTTTCTTTTGGGATTGATGGACAAACAGCTGGAAAAAAGTCATGGAACTTTGTTTTTATACATGATAACTGCAGTGAGACTATTATATGCACAAAGGTGGAAAGACTTGATATTACCCACAATGGAGGAATGGTTGGTGAAGATGATGGAACTTGTTGAGATGACCAAATTGACATCTTTGATCAGAGAAAAGACATTAACTAGACTGGAAACCCCTTATAGACTTTTTGTGTGAAACAGAAAAGGAACTTTTTATATATGGTTTTGATGATTAGAAAAAACAATAGATTATAGAAAAAATTAAAATCATGCTGTCACCAGAGTAAGAAGTTTATTTACATTTATATTTATAACTGCTGTAAAAGAAAATCGGAAGTTACTTCTTTATATTTTCTTTTTTTTTTCTGCACTTTTGCCTTTGTCAGTCCTTCCTTCCTTCCTTCCTTCCTTCTTTCTTTTTTTGTTTCTTTTTGTTTTTTTCTTTTTTTTTTAAAATTTTAATAAAGTTATTTCTAAAAAAAGACGCCCTAATGGTGGAACTCTCTTTCCACAAGGGTTTGCCAAACAGTTCTGAGAAACACAAGTTTATTTTCTCAAATCTTTGGGGCTGCAATCTTATACCTATTCATTTAGGAGCATGTCCCACTGAATTCAGCACAACACTTC